GGAGCTTTGTAAACTCCACATTTCAGTGGTGGCACTCTCTAAGGTATGCAGACCGTGGAGCGGCCAGATCTCAGTAGGGGGGTACGCTTATTATTGGTCTGGTCACTCTTATGGCTGCCATACTCATGGAATAGCTGCTGGTGTGGTGGATTGGCTCCTCCTTATGGTATCCGATGTCACTCCTTTCAACAAGCATATTATGAGACTCAGGTTAAGGTGCAGCAACGTGCCGTACCAGTGCATGCTCCTCAACCTGACCTGACCTAAGTTTCATATGCAACCAACAATACCTTGCAATAAATGTGAGGCGGAACAGGGCTAAATAATGAGTGAAACAGGTGTTCTTACTCAGGCAGGGCTCACATGAGGGGGTGTGACAACTACTGTATTAGGCTGGATTCAAGTGACACCAGTCACAAGTCCTGGATTAAAAAAATATTATTTTAATTAAAATTAATATTAAAAATTGGGATTTCTGGTTCACAACATGTGAAGCTGTGAGTTTCTGTGCTTTGCATTGAACTTTTATTTCAAGATGTCAAATTCAGCCTCGTTGGACTAGGGTCAGCATGGACATTTCGACTGGTCTGCAGCTATACAACCCCATATCCACAAGTTATGGGCACCGAGATCAGTTTGCTCACGTCACAATACATCCACTTTCCAACAACTGCAGCAGAACAGACCACAGTACTGACTTCATTACTATTAATCATGATGTAAACTCAACAGGAGCACAGTTACAACTTTGTGTTTGAGCACAGTAGGAGCATGGTGGAATGGGCAATAAGAATGCCGAAGACATGACTCTAGTGGAAGAGGCATACTGAGTACAACCCGGACAAAGTTTGATATTTGTGAATGGGGGTAACTCCGCCTCTCACCAGTGAATTGTCTCACACTGTTCATATTTCGTTTAGGTGTGCCACATAGTCAAGGCATGCAGTGTGCTGCATCATGTTACCAACAAAAACGGCACACCAGTAGATGATGTGCCCTGCTTGAGGACCATATGCCTGATGGAGTTCACCCCATGCCTACTGCCACAGCTATATAGCTGAGAATTAAGTTAATTCAACAGTTTTTGGTGTGCATCATACCAAGAGGACTTCGCTCTGCAGAAAAGTTTGTGTTCTGGCAGTCAGTTGGCAATAAATTATTTGTGAAGTATGACACCATTTCTTTGAGCATGCTCACACGCGGATATGTGATCTGTGGGTGGTGATCCTTCTTTTGGCTGTCATCTAATAGTCAAACTATTTCTTTCTCACCTCTGCTGCCATTCTCATTACAGGTGACACAGTATTAAGTGCATATATCACCTGTCCCCACGCTAAGTCCTTCTTTGTCTTTGACAGGCAACTGGTGAAGTTGCTGAACAATTGCTGAAATTGATCATAATGAAAAGCTAGTTCCTGAGTCGATGCAGACAAAATGGCATCAAACTGAATGGAGAAAAACTGAAATAAAGTCAAAAGGAGGTCCCATACATAGGACACCAGCTAATAGCAAATGGACTAAAAACAGATTGGGAAAAGGTGCATGCTGTCAATGAGATGTTACGGAAAGCAGTTCAGAGACTGTTGGGTATGGTGAATTAGCTAGTTGAAGTCTGCCTTTACCTCTAAGACCATTGTGAGGTGTTGAGGAATTTAACACACAAAGACTATAAGTGGTAATGGATGGCTGACCACGATGGAAAAATTCTACCAGGATCCATATGGACAAAAAGTCACAAAGTTACCACAAGCCAGTGGAGACCATAAACTCTGTAACAAAAGAGGATAAATCTTCAGACTCTCATTGAAACTATGTGCTAGGGATGATCAAATGAAAAGACTAAGACACCTTGTGAAATCAGGCAATTCTTACTATTCAAAGAAGAGCTGAATTATCAAGAGAGAATAGTGTTCAGAAGAAAAGGCATTGTTATTCCTGACGCAATGAGGAGAGAGATTACTCTGTCTACACTCTGCATATCTTGGTGTGAAAAGATATCTACCCAGGGCTAGGGAATGCATATACTGACTGGGCATGAATGTCCATAACAAGACCTTTGCAAAAAATTACAACATCTGCAGGTGAGTAGAATATAAACAACAGAAAGCAAACTTTATGACCTTATGAAATGCCAAGCCAACTCTGGGCAAAGGTGGCCACAGATCTGTTTTCACTTGATAGCAAGGACTCTTATCTCTGTAGACTACTATTCAGTTTTTTTGGGAAATAGACAATTTGCTGAATATAAAGTCTGCAACTATGATAAAGAAACTGAAGGCCCAGTTTGCTTAGCAAGGTATCCCTGACACTGTAATTTCAGAGGAGCTACAGTACAGAACTCATCTGCAAAGTTTCAGGGATTTAGCAGACCGTGGGAATTTTGGCACAAGAAGTCAAAGTCTAAAGTCATACAGGCACAACAAGAGCTGGAAAACAGACAATACTGACTGTGTGCCTGCAATGACAGACCGACTAGAGACCTGAAGACACTGAGCTTGGGTGACAGTGTCCGAATACAACCGTTTGTACCACACACTGTCTGGAAAATGGGCAGAGTGCTGCAGCCCATCAATCTTAGGTCCAACAAGATCCAGTTGACATTCTGAGAACTCTGAGACACCTCAGCTCTGGGGAGCCCACTGACATTGACATTGCTGACCCCCGTCACTCAGAGCCTAATCAGCGGCACCTTATGCTGGAGACTAACACAGCTGCAGATCTTGGTGACATTAACAAGGACTTTATGACTTTATAATGCTAATGCGGGATATAAGTGCACTTTGGGGGAATAAAGGGTGATAAAAAGGATTCGGTTTAAAAGCTTACCTCTTTATTGGTCATATAGATATAATAATAATAAATTCATAATGTGTTGTCCAAGTTTAAAATACACTTTTTTCATATACCATTTTTCTACTGAAAATCTACAAATTTTCCTGATTGAAAAAACATGGAGGAATTTGAAATTGGGCCTTTTGGAGGCTATGCCTCAATAGCTCAGAGCAGTTTTGGCAGCTTGAGGGGGACCTACGAAATATGTCAGGTGGTTTTAATGGTACGATTAATGTTAATTTTAATGTAATGATTGGTGTATTTTCACTAGCTGTGGAACCTTCTACTTTATTAGACGTTAATACATTTGTTCTGCCAATTAGTCTCATGGTTACCTGGCCAAAGCCCCCACCCACAGATTAAGGCGGAGTTTAGGAGAATCTCAACAATTTCTTTGGAGAAAAAGCTGGACCGGACATACAGAAACTGGATTGGGTTGCAGGGTTAAAATGACAACCTTGATTTTTAGGATTTCAGGACTGCGAGGACACAGTACTTCCATTGAAACAATTTTTTACTCATTTTGTCTATGTATTTTTATTGAAGTTTTACAATAGCACAAATACATCAGGGGAATGACACTGACAAGAATACATGGGAAAGGGAGAGAAAGTAACAATACAAAGGGGCAGAAAAAGAAATCGAAAAGAAATTTGCAACTATACACACAGGCCTGTTCTTATTCTAATCAGGACATCACTGTCAAAGTCACCCTACCAGTTTGGGCCAAAGAAAGCAGCAGATGAAATTATAAGCAGGGGATTTCTAAATGCTTCTTGTCCTGAACCACTTAATGACTTAATGTGAAAAAGTCGTGACTAGCTTTTTTTTTGTTCTAGAACAACGAAAGGAACCTTGAGCTGGTCCTTTATTTTGTTGAAAAATACCAAGAGTGATTACTTACTGAATACTTTGTTATTAAACTGTACAGTTACTGAGTGTACAGTACAGGACTGTCATCATATTCCTAGCAGGCTGGGGGTGGCAGGGCTGGAATCCAACTCCTGTTCTCTGTGTAAAGTTTACATGTTCCAAATGTTAGAAATTGAGTTTCTAACATACCCATGGTATGTGAGTCTGGATCCTGCAATGGCCTTTCCCCATTCCAAGAATGTCCCCATCATGTGCTCTGTGCTACTGGGAATATGGTCAGGATCCCTGTGACCCTGCTCTGGATAAATGATTGCAAGAGGGATATACCAGAAAAAAAAAAAAGTTCTTACAGAAAACAGTACTGGTAGTTAGCAGGAAAACCATTATACAAATGTGGGTAAAAGACAAATGCTTCAAAATAGTAAGTGAAATGCATGATATGTTAAGGTTTAACTATTGGGGAAAAGGTTTTTTATACACACACAGGGTCAAGTTTGGTTTTGTCAAGTATGGGATTCAAACCTCAGACATTCTGACCAAAAGCACAAAGGCCCAGTATGCTGAGCCACACCCCTATATAGCTGTATCATAACAGACTGCATGAGAATATTGCAAGACAACCCCAGAGGAAAAATTAAATGTAATACCCACGATTGTCATCTTTTCCTGTTCCCTTTTATTGGAAAACTTATGTTAATTATACTGGTGAGGAATTGCTGAAAGATAAACTAAACTGATCCCAGGAAAATAAAGCCACATAATACAAAGTTTACTATGTTACAATACTATGTTTTACATTAAACTATACTGAGTTTGCAAGATTAAAATCTGTATTTCCAACAAAATATAAAACTTGCCTTTAAAAATGTTTACAAATCACGTTCAATATCAAGTTAAAAATTGTGCATATAAATTTAATTATATATACATACATAGTTATTGCTAGTTGTTTAAATATACTGAAGAAGTTTAAAAACACAGTTAAGGAAAGGCAATGTTCATCCACGCAGTTCAGTTAAAAAAAAATTCACATGTCCTGGATTACGCTTGTTCATGCTCTGTTTGCATCTCCCTATGATGTCATGGGATTTCCCCCACATTCTGAAAAAATTATTTTCAGTTGTTGAATGTTCTGTGTGCATTGCGTGTGCCCCTCGGAGTACAAGTGGCATAAAAGATCAAGGGCATAGATTAGGGTGCGGACAGTAGAGACATGTCCCTACTGATATTGTGGGAGAACTGTGTCACGATAGGCTTGCAGGCGATCCGGGAAGCAGGGAAACGGAGCCAGAAAGTCGGGTAAAACCGGGGATTTATTAAAGATAGACAGGACCGGGAAAACACGTCAGCGAACATCAATGACAAATCCGGGGAAGACTGACTCAGACGAGGACTAAATACACAAGACTAGGCAAACGGAACAAGCAACAGGTGAGAAAAATCAGGGATGAACACGAGGTAACGAGGTGGGCGTGGCACACATTAGGATCGGCCGGAGCTGGGCGTGACAACTGAATTGTCCCTACCAAAATTTATTGCGATCTCCAAAATTTTTCACGGTTTGACCCTCAGAGTAGAATTGAAGGCTCTCATGTTCATGATAATCTGTAATGGATGTAAAATGTATCTGACCATCCATCTTCTGTAATCACTTGTTCTACTTGGGGTCATGTCAAGTCTGGGGCCTATCCTGGAGGCTACAAGGCAGGGAACAATACAGAATGGGGCGCCAACCCATCGCAGGGTACACTCACTCACTATTCACTCACACACACACACACACACACACACACACACACACCTATGGGCAATTTGATAACTCCAGTTAACTTCAGCATGGTTTTGCACTGTAGGGGGAGACCAGATTACCCAGAGGAAACCCCAAAAACATAACTGCACACACAGAATCCTGGCAGAGACTCCACCCTTGGCCCTTGACATGTGATGCAACTGCGCTAATCACTGCGCCACATAGCTGCCCCATGCCTTCAAGCACTGTAAGATTGTATTATGACATAGGAAATGACCTAATAAGCTACTGACCTGCTCAATATCTCAAAACTTCCCTGAACATAAACAGACCCATATAAAATGTGTGCAGTGTTAGTTGAATATTAAATAAAAACTAATTATGCAAATGTATCATATTTCGATGTCGCCTACATTTGCAGCATCAGTGTATGATTCATTATATTATATACAAGAAACATTGCAACCAGTTAAGATGTAGAACAGATCGAGAGTGATGCACATGGACCTGCAGAAGTTAGAAGGCACATAAAAGACTTCGATCTACAATGTCACAGCAGCGACTAAATGATGTTTCTTTTATTGAACGTCATTTTTTTTGTTATTGAAAATTTGGACGTATGCGTCCGAACCACTAGGCGGCGACAGTGAAAGAGTTAAAGAAAGTGGATTGACATCCAGAAACACAAGTCCATTCAGAGTATGTATTCTGTGTATGTTAAATGTGTTACTTTACATAAAAAACAATACAAATGGTAAAAAAAAAAATCTGTTACACCACTGTTCAATCACTTGTCTGTGTATGACTATTATCAGGACTATAGACGTTACTCTTCTTTGAATATTTCATAGAGTTGAAGGACACTTTCAGTCTTTCTACTTGTCTGTGGCTCCTGCACAACAGTGTGTTCCTCACGCTGTCCCTGAAGTCCTCGGAAACGTAGTAGTAAATGAAGGGATCAAGGCAGCTGTTTAAGCTGGCTAAGCAGAGGACAGTGATGTACAACTTATAACCATTGTCTGCTACGCCATATTTGAGAAGCGTATAGTGGATGATCAGTACTATGTTGCTTGGTACAAAACACACCACGAAGGTCACCATCACTATGAGAATCAAGATCACGGCCTTCCTGCGTTTCCGCCCAATGTCTGTGTCGTACATGGAGTCGCCCAGCTTCCTGATCAAGCAGATGTAGGCCAAGATGATAACCAAAGATGGGACTAAGAACATCAGTCCAAACATGAGGATGAAGTAGACGTAAGGGTATTTGATGTCTTGAAAGGGGTTCTGGACGTCACGTATGACATTTACATCGTGGCAGGTCGTGATGTCAAGACTTTGAAAACTGACGGTTTGGTCATAGAGGTACAAAGGTGTTGTGCTACAACAAACGACAAACCAAATGGCCAAAGAAATGACACAAGCAACATGATTGTCTTTCTTCAGCTGAGACAGAGGGTAAGCAACAGCCCAGTACCGCTGCACACTAAGGCAAGCAATAAATAATATTGAGCAGTACATGTTCCCATAGAAGAAACCCACCAGCACTTTACAGAGCTCTTCTCCATAGACCCAGTTATTGCCTTTAAAGTGGTAGGAAATTTTTAGGGGGAGCCAGATGACAAACAGTACGTCAGACAGAGCCAGGTTGGCCATGTAGATAGCAGCAGGGTGCTTCTTCTTAGTTCTAAAAACAAAAACCCAAATTGTCATTGCATTTACTGGCAAGCCCACTGCCAACACTATTATGTAGACAACCGGAAGGAAGACTGTAGTCAAACCACTTTTAAGTGTTTCTGCTGTAACACTGCCAACTTCTACTCTGCCTCCATTTTCCGGATTTGCAAATGCAACAAACCCACGCGCCTTTTGTTTCTGTGAATCTGGAAAGAACAAACATGCCAGCGTTAACCATAGGCACTGAAAGGCACAAGCTCACACACAAACACACACATAAAGCACTTATAAATGAAAGCCCCAAGGTAAAATAAAATAAACAGATAGACAAACGAACAATAAAACAAATAAGCGGTAACAGCTGCCGATCGGATGAGGTGGCGACGATAAAATTAATTATCCTTTCACGCGACGTACAAAACATAATAATAATAATAATAATAACTTTTATTTCTAATGCAATTTTCATTAAAACAAGAATAAGAAACGTCCGATTTGTAATAAGTGTTATTCTCACGTCGGCGACCACTGCTTTATAGGTAATTCTAATATTGTAATAATTTAGATTTGTCTCTGTTTTAACTTGCGAATACTGTATTTTCTTATGAATAAACAAGGTGGCAAGGCGGCGAATATAAAGATATATAACTAACCTTTTTCTCACACACAGTTTCTGCTGTTATTCACATTTATTTTCAGCTTACATATATGAATCCAAATGGCGGGTGATTTTACACTATATAACATTTCGAAATGATTTGCACAATTGATTTCACGAAATGTAGCACACAGCAAACGCAACTCGGTCTAGCTGTATAACAACTAAATCACGTTCTATGTAAATATTGGACCGAATAAAACTATACAATATACAAGTGGGGTGTTTCAGAATTAGATCTCATACCTGTCTGTGCGTTGGCTGTGAAGATGCAATAAAGAGAAATCAAAAGCTGAATGGTTCGTGCTGGAGACATTTTAAGAACTTTGTTCTGCATTGCCTTCTGCAGTAATGCGAGAATACGGCTCACGGTAAGCTTTTGTTTAACCATCCGACCCGATACCTGTATTGGATTTTTGGGACACACCTTGTGAAACGCCACTGTGTCATGGGCGCAGCAGCAGAGCTGAATATAGTTAATGCCGTTTCGACCGTCCCTCTGACTAAGACGTTGGATGTGAAGGTAAGTCTGAGATGAGCTCCGCGACAAAGAAACGTAAAAACACCTTGGTGGTCATAATAAGGGGGGGGGGGGTACCAAGCAGTGAGTAAATAGTCTCAACTCTTAAGCTTATGGAGCCATGGCTTGATGAGGCATTCAGCGTCATTTTGATTGACACTGGCCGACAAACAAATAATATTACAGTGTTGTCTGGTATGGAAATGCTCATCACCCAGAAATGGCTTATTAGACAATAACATAAACAACAGATTTATCTACAAGTTGTTGGAAGTTTACTGAGCCCCACTATACTGTAACGTTACATATTATGTGAGGACACATTCATAGATGTATAGCTTTAATTTAACGTTAGTTCAAACTTAGATGAAGTACTTAGATGAAGTTTTGTTGCACTAACATAACTTAGCCTATCAGAGAGAGAGAGGAAAATTATGTTGACAACTACATCCAGCATACGTTTGGTATTGTGATGCCCAGGGGACCCAGGCTCTGGAGAGGCAGGCAAAAAGTGAGGCAGCATCTTAATACACAATAAAGCTGTTTTATTGTCAGCAATTAAAAGGACTCACACAGCAGGCCAAAACAACAACAACCCACTGCCCCTCTTCTACGAGAGGCAACTCGCTGACGCTACACAGCCCCCCCCTCAAGGATCTGTCATCCCAGCAACCCCTTAAGCCCAGTCCCCCCCTCACCTACTGGGGATCATGACCCCAGTGTCCCAGTATTCCGAGCAGAATCTTTGTATATAAATGGAAAGCTGGGGACCGATGGTGAAGCCGGGCTGTGGGCGGCGATGCAGTTCCCTCCAGGTGTCGGCTCTTGGACTTGCGTGACTTTGAGGGGACCTGCTGCTGACTGTTGGGCTGCTGTTGTTTGCGCTGCTCCTCTGGCTCTCGGCGCTCCACAGCCAGCTGGGCCTCCGCAGTGTTGCCAGCCTCCTCACGGTCCAGCAGCACAGCCACCGCCGTCTTGTCTTCCCACTTGATGAGGTCGCACTGCTGCTTCCAGCTGACCAGTTTGCTGTGGACCTGCTTCAGCTCACGCCCCTCCTGCACCACGCCCGTTTGCAGTCACCCTTGGGGGGTTTGGATCCCGTTTCTGACACCATTGCAATTTGACCGAGGCTTCGAAAAGGCAGGGAAGAAGTGAGGCAGCATCTTCAAATATGAGGCTGTCTTATTGACAGCCCTCAAAAGCATTCAAATACTTTTTTCTGCATCAGTCAGAACGGGATCATGCCAACTTGGAAGCACAACGGTGTCCCTCCTGTCGTCATCCCGGCAGAAAAATGATTTCATAATAAAACCATGCAAAAATACATACAGTCACAATGATAAAACATCAAAAATTCATGAAACCAACAAACCAACAAACATAAGATCAATTAAAAGAGCTATGGCCAGTAAAACAATTAAGATGTCACATTAAATACAAGCCATTAAAATACGGGCGACACGGGCAAGAAACACAAGAAGAAAGGAATCGGCAAACGCACTGAGAAGCGCAGCAGTGATCAGTAGCTCCGCCCACCGCCCCGCTCCGATTAACATATATTTGCATGTAGTGAACTTGAAAATAAAAAGCCAAAGTAGGAAATGAAAAGTCAAATTGGAAAATGAAAAGACAAAAAGGGTTTTTAATTTTATTTTTCAATTTTTCACATCTGACTCATACATGAGTGGAAAATTAAAATGCAAATAGTGCTATTTCATTTTAATTTTAATTTGTGCAGGATTTTTACGCACAGACTTTGGGAAGTAAATGGCAAAGTGGAGATTGTATTTTCTTTTTATCATTTTCATTTTAATTTTATTTTTTGCAGAAAATACCTCCCATAGAAATACTGCCAAACAGCGGACATACTTCTTGCACGTTTGTACTTCTTCGCTGCCGTAAACAGTGGTTGCTTGTGGCAACACGACACAACTTCCTGTGTTTGCATTCTGAGCAGCGAAGAAGAATTGATTTCAGACTTGCAGCGTTAAGCAAAGCTAGCGGGCATAACTAGGTTATGTTTAGGAAAATGGTATCGGATCGGTACGTGGACTCAAATACTCGCCGATACAGATGCCAGATTTTTTGGTGGTATCGGCAGCATTTCCGATACTAGTATCGGAATCGGAACAACATTAGTGAAAACCACCTTTTCGATTTTACCGTTTTTTTTCCACCACTCGGCCTTTGACTCCTATGGTGAAGTCACTGAAAATATTGGATTATTTTCCAATTGAATATGCTTTTGTCTTCAATTTAACAATAAAAGTGTTAGATAATGTGGGATTAGTGAATGAATACTCTACTGTCAACAGTTACATTTCACCTACAGTAAATAGGTGAAAATTAACATTTTTGGAGCTGACTGATATTATGTCAAGGTGGATTACTTGAGCTGGCCCTGTTGGGATTTTGCTTGTGTTTGAATATTAATACTGATCATTTTAACAATGTCTATATTTTCAGGAAGAAGAGCAGCAACCTGAAGACTCAGCTAGACCTGAAGATGTGGAGACAATAGTTGAATGGGGTGGGTTTGTTTCCCAGTATCTAGCTGTGAGATACTGTTGCCGCAGCAGTTAAGGTATAAGAAGAAGATTTTTCTTTCTTTTTTCCATAGGACACCGATGCATCCAGGATCCTCCTTCATTGTAAACATGCAGCAGTGTGGGTTGAGGCCAACAAGCACAAGTTCTCTGCCACAGTGGACCCACCTGCCGTACTGTCCACGGGGGAAGAGAAACAGGCAGAGGCTGCTGTAAAATATGGAAAGTTGTGCCATGAATACATGGAGGAGCAGGACAAAGAGGCAATCCTGGAGCCTTTCATGTTTATGTTCGATTGCATTGATGACATGTTGACATTCTGCCAGGAGATTATTGATAAGAGAAGGTATGTGACATATTGTGAATGTCGCACAAATATTACCAAAGAATAAAAGAAACAGAAGATTTGATCATTTGTGATTTTGTGTGTTTGTTTTTTTTTTAGGTTTTGTTTTTCATGGAGCACTTAATATTTCCCTTGGATACTGAGGATATGAATAAGTCACTGTAGTATTTAGTAGTATTTTGGTGTTCCAGCAGCCCAAGAACAGAAATAGCAATTAAATTAATGGTGGCTAAAATAAGAATACAGAATAATACAACAGAAAATGTAAAATAGAATAAATTAGTTGGAATACAACAAAAGTGCAATACAGTCAAATTAAATGATAACGACGTGGCCTCAAAGTACACTTTATGTTGTCCACAATGAAATAATGTACAACCTGTAACATTGTATGGGATGTTGGATGATGAATATGTTAAGCAAATAAGTACACCGACTAACGTTATTCCTGCTCTCTATGTACCTGTATGCTGATTGCCGTCATTTTTAAAATATTTGACCCAAACCTCTTTTAAAGATCCTCGGTTTACAGTAGTAACAGAGCCTCAAGTCATATCAGCCACCGTTATGTTTTCCATAATGGCTTAAGTCGTAAGATCCCGCAGTACACTATTCTTAACACATCAATCATAAATTATACGTATTTTGGAAAAGATGAGGAGAGACTCGTGCTCTAATTGTTTTTCTGTTGATTCATATCATTAGGCTAAACATCGGCTTTTTGTTCTATTTGGACAAAATAAATATCGCATGTAAGATACTGTCACTAGCAAAATAGTTGCTTCACGGGCATAAATATCCACGTTAGGGTCCGTTCGCTATTGACGAAAAGGTAAAAACAATAAATACTTCTTAAAAATATATAAACGAAAAAACAAACACAAAACAAAAACAAGATAAGTAAATTCTAACTATATACAACCGTGTACATAAAACAATATATACTATAGAAGAGGAATGAAGAGATTGCCGTTATATTGTTGAGTACTGAATGAAACAAAGCCATTTTATTTTGAAAATCAATTACAGTGTAAGTGCCTAGGGATTGCTCACTCTCCGCTATTGAAGGAGGTGGAGTCACACCTTGTTATTTCCTGTACTGACAGTGGAGATTTCATGAGAGTGGAGACTGCAGCGGAAGTGACTCCACAGTGGAGGTCTGCAACCAGATGGCCCTCCATAAGACAGGCCAACACTAAAGAAAGTGGATTGGCATCCAGCAATACAAGACCATTCAGAGTATGTACTCTGTGTAAAATTTATTACTTTATATAAAAACAATACAAAAGGTTAAAAAAAAAAAACCTGTTACACCACTGTTCAATCACTTGTCTGTGCATGATTATTATCAGGACTATATACGTTATTCTTCTTTGAATTTTTCATAGACTTGAAGGCCACTTTCTGTCTTTGTACTTGTCTGTGGCTCCTGCACAACAGTGTGTTCCTCACGCTGTCCCTGAAATCCTCGGAAACGTAGTAGTAAATGAAGGGATCGAGGCAGCTGTTTAAGCTGGCTAAGCAGAGGACAGTGATGTACAACTTATAACTATTGTCTGCTACGCCATATTTGAGAAGCGTATAGTGGATGATCAGCACTATGTTGCTTGGTACAAAACACACCACGAAGGTCACCATCACTATGAGACTCAAGATCACGGCCTTCCTGCGTTTCCGGCCAATGTCTGTGTCGTACATGGAGTCGCCCAGCTTCCTAATCAAGCAGATGTAGGCCAAGATGATAACCAAAGATGGGACTAAGAACATCAGTCCAAACATGAGGATGAAGTAGATGTAGTTTCCGGGTAGTTAGCCCTCAAGTTCATTGTGCTCTAAATTGTAATTAATTGCTTACCTGTTTGTTGTGGAACCGGATTTAATTTTGTGCGATCCAGCCGATTTTAGAGTCTGAGTGAATGCCAAGAAGTAAGTTTATGCTGAATTTTATGTTTATGTCGTGTTTGTTTAAATGCACGTAGGAGCTACCATTCGGGTAGTTATAATGTCCTCTTGGATATACTTTTAACTACGTTGTGCAGATTTCCGAGACGACTGCAACTTCTATACGATTAGGGAAGTTGCATTTATCTGGCATCTATGTTGGTTTATATGCCGAGTTAAATTAATGTCTGCGTGCGCAAGAGGGATATGTACTGTTAATGTTAAGCCATACCTATCGTTGGCCGCCGGAGAGTGAAAAGACTGAGCTACCATTGCAGTTAAGAATCAGTGTTCGTTTCTCTATCTGAATGGCAGTTTACTATACATATCTCCAACCTATTATTTCTGTTAGAGTAGTTATGTGAAGGATGAGGCTGGAAATCTTTATTTACCTTATAAAATATTTCTGTCTTCATGCTTAGCAATAATGTAGATTTGCTGTTGAGATATGAGTGGTTAAAGATGTCTGTTTGTTATTGCAGACTAATACCAATAATATTACAATGCTGCTGTTATTGGAACTCTAAGCATTGTCTGGAACGCAATACACAACTCAGTGAAAACCTTTGTCTCCTCATCATTTGATGCATTCTGACCGATGCACCATCTTGATTGCTGCCATAAAGCTAAAAGAACCAGAACACCTTATCACCTCCCCAACATTGGTCCTTCGAGCCGGATCAGTATACAAGGTGGAGTCTGATGAAGAGACAATTCCTGATGTGAGACCTAAGCGGCACACACGTCGACCAGCCCGACTGCTGGACTTTGAAGTGGACTACGTGGGCTACCACCACAGAGACCTGATGCAGCTGGGCTCATCACCTCCTACTCCAGAGAGGTTACCGTTTCGCCCATGGGAAGCTCCAAGCCACATGAACCTCTTCTCAGCACCCCAGACTCGTCCTGGTAGCGTCCAAGGGGATGCTGCTCACATTGAGATTCCTCAGCTAGCCTCAGGATGCTACCAATAGAGAGATCCAAATAGTGATGCTGCCCCACCTGCGCATACCCCATCCTACCTGCGGAGCCCCCGCCTAGCCCCCCACTTCAAAACAGAGATGAGAGCCATATAAGAAGAGAATGCTAAGCTACTTCAAACACAACAAGCCGTCCAGTCAGGCATAGTTGAGCTGAATGAGGCACGAAGCGAGATCAGGGAGCTGATTGAGGTAGCCCGCTCACTGAGAGCAGACATCAGTCAATCTAGTGCCACAGTCCCAAATTACAGCACCTATAAGCCTTCACTACCTAGTACTGTATACCCCAGGTGGTACCGTGCAGAGACGCTACCTAAGGAGGGGGACGTTTGGCCCGCCCCTGCACAATGGGCCATGCCTAATGAGGAGCTGCATACAGGCATGTACAATCTTAAGTTTGAGGCACCAGATCTCGATTGTAACCAAGCATCCTATGCCCCCTATGCCCCAAAGGACCCTGTGTACACGCCTCACAGGCCTCGACCCCCAAGGCAGCAGTACCTCCCACCTCCAGCCTCTACACCACACAAGGGGAATGTAGTGAGGAAGAATCCAAAGGGTAAAGCCTATTGTGCCTACTGTGAGAGCACTGAGCACTATCTCAGTCAATGCAGTGATGTTGCCAAACTGTCCAAAGACCAACTTAGAGGGTGGATCCAAGTTAACAAGCGCTGCTGGCGCTGCGCGCGGACTCACCAAGCGGCCCAGTGTACACTAAAGAAACCCTGCAACCTCTGTCAGGGAAAACACCTCCTGGCTCTCCACGAGATAAATGTGTGAACAGAGAAGGGTCAGAAAGATGCAACAATGAAGACAGAACGCTGTTTAACCAGTACTGCCTCTGACGCCCTTTACCTGACCGGCCTGGAGCAAGCAATCGTGCCATGTTGAAGGTTGTACCAGTACTTGTACACCATGAGGAGAAGACCCTTGACACCTATGCGATCCTTGATGATGGGTCTGAGAGGACTATGCTGTTAACACCAGTAGCTCAGTTCCTCGGTATAAAGGGAACCCCTGAAGCTCTCCCCCTACACACGGTCCGTCAGGATATCCAGGTACTCCATGGCCATACTGTTTCATTTTACGTCTCAACGGCTGCCACTCCTCAGACCCGCCATAAGGTAGAAGGTGCCTTTACAGCAGACCGCCTTAGTTTAGCTCAGTACACATATCCCATTGACAGCCTTCAGGGTAAGTTCAGACACCTGCGTGGCATTCCTTTACCTGCCTTCAAAGACGCGAAGCCATGCCTCCTTATTGGCTCCGAGCAGCCACATCTAATAACACCTGTGGAACCTGTAAGACTTGGCCCACTTGGGAGTCCTGCCACAGTTCGTACCCAGCTGGGGTGGACCCTTCAAGGCCCCATCCAGCTCATGGGGCGGCCATTGCACTCCACTGAGTGTTCACTTCCGTCCCGTCACTAATGGACGAACTGTACAAACATGTTCAACGGCTCTGACAAGTAGACACTCTGCCTCACCAACGAGATAAAGAGGTGACTAGGTTGAAGCAGGATAAGCAGGCAATTGCTTTACTTGAAGCCAAGACTGTTCGCACTGAGGTGGATGGGATTCTCAGATATGCCACTCCACTCCTGCGTCATGTAAACATGCCGTTATTGCAGGCACCCAAAGAGTCAGTCATGGCCATGCTGCGTAGCACGGAGAGACGTCTCCTTAAAGACCCCAAGCAAGCGGATGCCTACAAAATTGAAATGCAGAAACTCATTGAAGCCGGTGTAGTGAAGGAAGTCAGTGAGGAGAGCTCTTCTAAAGAAAGATGGTACATCACTCACCACCTCGTAACCCATAATGGGAAATATCGCCTGGTCTTCAACTGCTCCCACCAATACCAGGGACAGACTTTGAACCAGTACCTCTTGCCTGGTCCCACCCTTAGTGCCTCCTTGCTGGGAGTCCTTGTGAGGTTTCGTGAACATCCCATAGTGGTCAGTGGGGATATCAAAGGGATGTTCCATCAGATACGCCTCCTTCCTGATGATTGTTCCCTACTAAGGTTCCTGTGGCGCGACTTGAAGATCAGTGAGCCTTCTAGAACCTTTGAGTGGCAGGTCTTGCCATTTGGCACCACCTGCAGCCCCTGCTGTGCAATTTATGCCCTGC